GGGGCGGGCCCCAGCCATTTAAATTTAAATGAAGCCGCGATTATTTTAATCGCGGCTTCATTTCCCTTTTCCGATCTGGCTAATCTACATGCCTCCGTCGAAGGAGGCATGTAGTCTAGACATACCCTAACAGGAAAAACTAAAAAAACAACAACAACAAAAACACTTACTCCTACCAGACTATTATTGTTTTTTAAGTATTTCCTAATAATATATTAGAAGACTTACCAGTTGTTGCTCAGTTCCTTCATGGTGAGGTGTGTGCAGGAGTCAGGGCAGAGGTTGAGGGGCTCAGGGCAGGTAATGGGGAGTACAGGAGTCAGGGCAGGGAGCTGGGAGGTGTGGAGGGCTCAGGACAGAGGATTGTGTGTGTATGTAGGCTCAGGGCAGGGGATCAGGGTGCAGGAGGTGGGAGGCTCAGGCAAGGGGGCTAAAAGGAGGGAACTGGGAAACGAGGGGGCTCACTGAGGCTGCCTGCTGTAGCTGCCGTCCCTTGGCTTCTCTAAGGGGTGGGTGGAGGCCAGGGCTGCCCCTTTTCTGGGGCGGGGGATGAGGTCCTGACAATGGGCTGGGGCTGTACAGAACAGCCCTAGCCCTGGCAGCTCCTGGGGTGGGATGAGGTAGGGGCTGAAGCTGTGCAGCCCAGCCCCAGCAGCTCATCGGGGGGGCAGGGGACCTAGGACTGCATGGGCTCTGGCCCTGGCAGCTCCTGTGGGGCAGGGCTTGTCCCCAGCTGGTCCTTGGGGTGGGTGGGACTGTGCAGGTGGTCCATGATTCTGGCAGCTATTCAAAGGGGAAGGGCCTGCATGGCCGAACCCCAGCAGCTTCTCAGTGGGTTGGCCGGGGTTGCTCATCCCAGCCCTGGCAGCTCCTCAGGGGAGGGAAAGGCTGCACAGCCCATCCCAGGCAGCTCTTTTGGGGAACTGCACAGGCCAGTCTCAGAGGTGTTCTTAGGTGAAACACTGCAGCGATGGGGCCGTTACCTGGTGGGGCTCTCCCCCTCAGGCTCTGTGGCCAAAGGGGAGAAGGTTGGGAGAGGCAGGCTACTTACCCATGGGTCATGGCCAGCAATATGGAGAGCTTTTATCCCAGCTGGCTACTCTCTTCCTGATGTCAAGTATTAGAGGGGTAGCCGTGTTAGTCTGAATCTGCAAAAGTAACAAGGAGTCCTGTGTCACTCTTATAGACTAACAGATTTATTGGAGCATAAGCTTTTGTGGGCAAAGACCCACTTCGTCAGATTCATGTAGTGGAAATTCCAGAGGCAGGTATAAATATACAGGCATATGAAAAGAGTACCAATCAAGAGTAAAGCTAGAGATAATGAGGTCAATTCAGTCAGGGAGGATGAGGTCCACTTCTAGCAGCTGATGTGGAGGTGTGAACACCGAGGGAGGAGAAACTGCTTTTGTAATCGGCTAGCCATTCACAGTCTTTGTTTAATCCTAAACTGATGGTGTCAAATTTGCAGATGAACTGTAGCTCAGCAGTTTCTCTTTGAAGAAACTATTGTTGTTCATTACTACTTTTCCACTTTTGAGGAGGAGGGCAAGAACAAACAAAAGTGGAAAAGTAGTGATGAACAACAATAGTTTCTTCAAAGAGAAACTGCTGAGCTACAGTTCATCTGCAAATTTGACACCATCAGTTTAGGATTAAACAAAGACTGTGAATGGCTAGCCGATTACAAAAGCAGTTTCTCCTCCCTCGGTGTTCACACCTCCACATCAGCTGCTAGAAGTGGACCTCATCCTCCCTGACTGAATTGACCTCATTATCTCTAGCTTTACTCTTGATTGGTACTCTTTTCATATGCCTGTATATTTATACCTGCCTCTGGAATTTCCACTACATGAATCTGACGAAGTGGGTCTTTGCCCACAAAAGCTTATGCTCCAATAAATCTGTTAGTCTATAAGAGTGACACAGGACTCCTTGTTACTTTTGCAGATTCAGACTAACACGGCTACCCCTCTAATACTTGACATCAGGAAGAGAGTAGCCAGCTGGGATAAAAGCTCTCCATATTGCTGGCCATGACCCATGGGTAAGTAGCCTGCCTCTCCCAACCTTCTCCCCTTTGGCCACAGAGCCTGAGGGGGAGAGCCCCACCAGGTAACGGCCCCATCGCTGCAGTGTTTCACCTAAGAACACCTCTGAGACTGGCCTGTGCAGTTCCCCAAAAGAGCTGCCTGGGATGGGCTGTGCAGCCTTTCCCTCCCCTGAGGAGCTGCCAGGGCTGGGATGAGCAACCCCGGCCAACCCACTGAGAAGCTGCTGGGGTTCGGCCATGCAGGCCCTTCCCCTTTGAATAGCTGCCAGAATCATGGACCACCTGCACAGTCCCACCCACCCCAAGGACCAGCTGGGGACAAGCCCTGCCCCACAGGAGCTGCCAGGGCCAGAGCCCATGCAGTCCTAGGTCCCCTGCCCCCCCGATGAGCTGCTGGGGCTGGGCTGCACAGCTTCAGCCCCTACCTCATCCCACCCCAGGAGCTGCCAGGGCTAGGGCTGTTCTGTACAGCCCCAGCCCATTGTCAGGACCTCATCCCCCGCCCCAGAAAAGGGGCAGCCCTGGCCTCCACCCACCCCTTAGAGAAGCCAAGGGACGGCAGCTACAGCAGGCAGCCTCAGTGAGCCCCCTCGTTTCCCAGTTCCCTCCTTTTAGCCCCCTTGCCTGAGCCTCCCACCTCCTGCACCCTGATCCCCTGCCCTGAGCCTACATACACACACAATCCTCTGTCCTGAGCCCTCCACACCTCCCAGCTCCCTGCCCTGACTCCTGTACTCCCCATTACCTGCCCTGAGCCCCTCAACCTCTGCCCTGACTCCTGCACACACCTCACCATGAAGGAACTGAGCAACAACTGGTAAGTCTTCTAATATATTATTAGGAAATACTTAAAAAACAATAATAGTCTGGTAGGAGTAAGTGTTTTTGTTGTTGTTGTTTTTTTAGTTTTTCCTGTTAGGGTATGTCTAGACTACATGCCTCCTTCGACGGAGGCATGTAGATTAGCCAGATCGGAAAAGGGAAATGAAGCCGCGATTAAAATAATCGCGGCTTCATTTAAATTTAAATGGCTGGGGCCCGCCCC